AGCCCAGGGGTATCATGTACAGCCCTGTCAGCGAGCCAGGAGTGCGGGGCTACAGTGAGTGCTCACTGGGAACTTCTGCCTTTTCAGCCCAAATCGTTTCGTTCTCAGGAAGGGAAACCTCCTGCATTCTCTTGCCCTTACCATGACCGCACACATAATCTAGCAGAGGGAAAAAGGATTTTTTTACGCTTAATCAGTCATGTGTCATTAGCATCGTGTTTCTTATAGCAGTGCCCTGAATTACACGTCGGGGCTGGGGACTTGGCTTCATTTGTGAATGCTTTGGATCAATGAGTGTCCCCTCATCCATGTGTGGGCTGACAGCAGGGACCTGACTCCCAATTGTGCAGGGAATGCTCTTGTATTACCAGCCTGGAGGGAACAATAAGCGCTGTGGGTGTTGTGTAGCTATAAAACACAAAGCAAGTGCTGATCTCCAAGTTTCACTGGCCAGACATGACCAGATGGTCCACGTTACCCAGAATCATTAGGGATACGGAGCTTTGAGAGGCTGTGTAAGACTGCGGGTCCCCTGTCAAGACTGGGTGCATTAACAGTCCAATGACAGCAACAAAAAAAGCAATGAGACAGCTGTATATCACTTGCCTGAGCAGTAGCTATCCCTGGGGAAGAGGTGGCCAAGATGCCCCTAGGCAGGGAACTTGGCCAGCCCGCAGCGCAATCCCCGGCCCCAGGAGGGTTTCTCCTCCAGTTTTCTCTTTACTGCCCGCAGTTGGTAGCCACTTTTTGTTATTTAATGTTCTGAAAAGCCACCTGTCCCTCCCTGCTAGTTGTATTTGAATAGTTACAGTGAATATTTGTGTCTGAAACCAACAGCATTGCTGCTAAATTTCATGACTCGATACCATACATCAGAAAAATATATTTCAATGGGCCCAGACCCATTTCCCCTTCTGAGGGACACGTAACTCCCTCTTGTAGCTCTCTAGTCCCCTGATAACAAGAGCATGGAGGAAGCTTGCTAAGCCCTCCCTTAGCGAGCACCCAGCACCCTGTCCCGGAGGATGCTGGGGAGGCAGGATGGTATCCAGCTCTTCACAACTCCTCTATGAAAGCTACTGTCCTTGGAAAAAAAGATTGGAGGCTCCAGTGCAAATGCAACATAGAAAAGAAGCAGAAGAGAAGGGAGGATGAGGAATAAGAGGCTCCTCGGATTAGTCTGACACTTTGTGCAATGCCCAATTAATAATTTAATCAATGATGTATTATTAAAGTGGCTAATTCAATTAATTTTAATATTTAAGAGCACAAATGAAAGATGCACATACACATTGCATGAACTGCAGGTGCTCTATCATGTGCAAACAGAGTTTCTTTCTCATTCAGATACTCTAGCCATGTGCATAACAACACACCGTACAACAGGACAGAAATGGTTACACTCTGCCCAGACCTGGGTGCTAAGAGACCTCAGGCCAATTTCCAATGGCAAAAACAGCCGTAAGGAGTTTTTGCAGCACACTAAAATCACGAGGAACACCATAACTTGATAACTCCTCACAGAAAGCCCCCAGCCCCACATTAATCCTGCCGCTTTTATGCACTCACCTGAGTATCAAGCTCAGCACCCATTTGCCACTACTCCATCTGGATTCAATGGTCTTCTCTGGAGAGCAATTCCCATCTTGTATAGGCCAAACTAAGTGTCGTGAGAACTGTAACTGTTCTCTTAATTTAGGTTCCTCAGTTCCTGGAGTCCATTTTTGGGGAAATAAACACCTTTACCAATCTGACCCCATCTCCCATATACGATGCACCTCAGTGTTCTGAGTATCTAGCTTTCTCCCCAAGCAAAGTGTTTGCTTTTCATATGTCCCTATATATACACAAACTAGTTTCAGTCTTTGCCCAAGTCCTTCTCTGCAGCTGAATTATACACAGAAGTGAGTCTGCTTCCTCATTAAATTTATAGTAGAATCTTATGCAATCTATCAAACAAGAAAGGCTATTTTTGACCATCATAAATAAACCGATTTTTATTAATCCCTCTGCAAACTTCATAGCAGTGCCCAGTCCATCCCTGCTAGCCTTTCAAGTGCCAGATGCAAAATATGTTCAGACCGTAATAAATCAGAGACCAGTTTTACAATCCTGTTGATACATCGCCTCTATTCTGCAGCCAGCAAGTGACTGTAAAGCTGAGTGTGCTTTGAGTGCTGCAATGATGTCTTATCTCTAGGGCTTTTATTTGATCTCCTTCAGATAAACCCCTAATGGTGCAGCTCATGGATTGGATGTTGCGAGGGACCTCTCAGGTGATGTTTGTCAATAACCCTCTCAGTGGGCTACTCATTTTAGTGGGGCTTTTCATCCAGAATCCTTGGTGGACGCTCACAGGCTGTACTGGGATGGCCGTTTCGACATTAACAGCCCTGACTCTGAGTCAGGACAGGTAGGTGGCACCTTGCATCACAGCACTTAATGAAAGTTGATCACTATGTTTTCAGGAATGGGTTGTAGTCCCCTGTTTCTGTAGCTTTGCTCTTCACTAGCCTAATAGCAAGATAGGTAGGAGATTGATCTGGAGGAGAATGGTGGCAGTTCTAGTCTTAGTCATGAGCAAGGCACCCAGTGACCAAACACTGTCAGGGCCTAGGCTAGGGATCAGCCAACTCAGATGAACAGGGTAAACCACTGAATTCAGCACATCTCCAGCACTGGGTCACACATCTCACCGTACCTCCACATGTCTTCTATCACACCACATCAACACCTTAGGCCTGCACAGCATCCGTGTACCCATCACACGATACATTCAGCACCCTACAGCTTCCCTTATTGGCTTCTAAATATCCCCATGTGCCCCACCGCATCTCCCCTGTCACTGACAACACCTCCAGCTCTTCAGAAGTCCCTGCAGCTCCATGCACATCCCGGCAGCCAGCTGTGACTTCTTGGTTCCCCTTCTCTCTCAGTCATTGACTCTTGAAAGAGTTTTTGTGCTTAAACAAGGAGGATCTTGCAGGTGTAGATTCAAAGATTCAAGGTTTTTTTTTTTTTTTTATTACCCTTTTCCTGCGTGTCTCTTGTTTTAAGACGCCATAGGTCATTCCAGCTAATCCAAGCTAAGGAGGTCTTTCAATTCCCTCTCTTTAGTGTCCCTTCTCTTGAGCTGGGAGAGGCAGTGTTGCCTTCCCAGTGCCAGGCACAGAAGTGCCCAAGTGCCAGGCTCACAGCTATAAACTGGCAGACCAGATTATGGATGGCGTGGGGGCAGTTAGGTGAGGACAGCACTGTGCTCCTCTGCTAGAGATCCTGAGGAACAGTCCGTTTCACCTCTCTGGTTACCACTAGGATATGCCATCATTTCAATCCCCGAGGTTCCCAAGATCACTGCAGATACCCATCACCAACTAACAGGCTCCAAATAATGTCTTTCACACCCCAGTGTGCATTGAGCAAACAGTAACTACCTTGCTGCTTGTTTATCTTTTCCCTACGGTCCCTTTACCAGGAGTAGGACACTTAGAAATGGCATTTCAGTGAGTCCCAGGGAGACGTCACCTTCAGCAAAAGCAAATTCCTTGCATCCATTTCTTCCAACCGCAGGTCGGCCATCGCAGCAGGGCTCTATGGCTACAATGGGCTCTTGGTGGGACTGCTCATGGCCATCTACTCTGACAAAGGCGATTACTACTGGTGGCTCCTACCTCCAGTGGTGGTTATATCCATGGCCTGGTAAGTGTGACTTCTCCTCACCCCAAACACTGGTCACTGCTCCTAAAGAGACCATTTCTCAGAGAATGAGGAATACAAACGGTTCTTACGTAGCCAGATGCTGAACTGAGTTGGAGCTTTCTCTCCAGTTGAGCTGAATCTTCCCCATTTTAGATACGCAACCAGTCTGAAGATGGAAGAAATACTCCAAGCAACCAAGCGCCAGACGACATCCTTTTAAGATCAAGTTTACCGTTTTTACATACAGACCTTGAAAGCACTACAGAATCCATTTATCAGCCTTAACTGAAATTAATTCAAGGTTTACATTTTAATCATTGTTAGTGACAAGATAAAAATCATTATTGCATTTCACTGCTTCTAAAATAAGATTTCTTCATATTTTATTTCTTTAGTCACTCTGAAGGAAGGTCATTTTGTAACAGCCTCTCAAAACCCAGAACATGTTGCAAGAATGTTTAGTCTGTCTTGTCTGCCAAAATTCCTTTAGGCTTTTTTATTCAAACTTTCTTTTTTTTTTTCTTTTTAAGTTTGTAAAACCCGGGGAAGAGCTGATTTTAAAATTAGACATTTCAGAGATTTTTTTTCCAACTGATACTTTGAATCTCAAGTTTAAAAGACAGCATTTTTGAATTTTTTTTCCCTGACAAGATGTGTAACTGGCAGAAATTATGTATTTCAACAGAGAAAATAGGACACCACTTTCACAGAAGTGCTGAGTTTTTTTCCACAGCTACAAGCAAGGAAATCTGTAAACTGTTCTGGAAACTGAACTTGTGATAAAATAATAGGCTTCATCTGAGATTACAAAGGGAGAAGAAAACATTTTCTCCCTGATGCTATCAACACAACAGGACACAAGATGTTGCTTTTGAAAAGCCAAATATATACAAGTACATTTTAAATTACAGCTTACAACCTTCTAGGACTCAAACCCAGCTTCTTGAAAAAAAATGTATTCAACTCTAGTTTTAAGTGTGCAATGTCCACTCCTATTTGGAGTTTGACCATAAGAGCAGCTCAGCTCATGCACATCAGAGAAGGTCGGCATCAACAGAACATGGCCCCTTTCCATCAAGGACAGGACCTGGCTTTTCTCTCCATCCCGCATGCTTTCCGACCCCATAAGGACCAGATGATACCTTGTCTATATGCTTCCAGAAAGACCATTCATGCGGGACATTCTCTTCAACCAGAGTGTGGAGTGTGGAAGCCTTTCACAAGAAGCAGGTCTTGTGAAATGTATGTCCCAGTTTCTACAGCCAAGACCTTTGGGCAAAGCCACAAACAGCATTTCAAAGGCTTCTGAGCATTTCTTTGATCCCTAAATCATTTGAGGGTCACCCCAAGTACTTTACATGCTAAATAGACTCAGTCACATTTCTTAAGAGGGAGGATCAGTTTACAGAAAAGTCCAAATAAATTTAGAAGCATTGGGCAGTGTACAGTAACATCATGAGCTTATGATCAATATGGTAGGATATTTTGCCCGTGTAACCACTACAAACCACTTTTCTTTACAGTCCAGTCTTGTCCAGCGCCTTGGCATCAGTCTTCAGTAAATGGGACCTTCCTGTTTTCACTCTGCCTTTCAATATTGCGGTAACTTTGTATTTGGCTGACACAGGATATTACAACTCCTTCTTTCCTACAACCCTCATCTGGCCTGTAACATCTGCACCCAACATCACCTGGTCTGCAATCAACGTGCCCCTGGTAAGCTTCCCCAAGCCACCTTTATATTATTTCATTAAAAAGGTGAATGTGAAGGCATTCAGTTCTAGACACCAAGTTTGCACAGGTCATAGTGGGTAACTGATATGCACAACCAGTAACAGTTCCCAGAAACAAATCAAGTCAGTCCTTAACAAGTAATACTGCTGTAACAGGACCAGGGCAGCTTTGGCCAATATCCAGAAAGGCACACGGAGCCTGGCAGAAGAAAGATCTTGGACCTCTCACTCTACCTGGAGTTAGACTGCCCCAAAATAAGTCTCGCGTGAGACTGATGCAGAAACACTATACAAAAGCACATCTGGATTCATGCTCCAGCTGTCCAGATGGGGTTAAAGAGACATTGGCAATAAGAGCCAGGGACAAAAAGAGGGAAAAAACACCACGATCGCAGAGGGACTCATTTACACCCATTCCCTCAGTCCAGCTCTGGCACTGAAAGAGGCCTTGTTAGAGAAGTAAAATACACACACTCAAAGCCAATTCACACTCCCAAAGCAGCCTAAGAGGAACTTTAGTGAAGAAAAAAAGGCTACAACTTTTCTAGGCAAGAATTCTATGGTTGTGCTGGCTAATTTGAGAACCACTGTGGGCTCCTTATGTTCTAGCCCTTAGCCAGAAAGGTTTGCAGTACCTCCTGTTTATATACTTCCTATATAGTAGGGATTTTTTCTCCTATCCTTTATCTCTTGGCTGAACCAACGCGAGAATGGCAATTAAGGCCGCTCTCTAGTTTCATATTTGAGTGGACCATCTGTTAGCCCAGGATTTATTTAGGTATGTTAGGAGCTATACTGGGGGTACCCATTTATCTCCTATGTCCCTGTTAGGTCAGCATGTACTTCGTGCACTCAGTTGTACTAATAAATCTGTCTTGTTCAATAGCAACACAGTAAAGTGTCCTGCATCATTTCAAGTCTGCCTCGTCAGCTGCAATTATTAATAATTTGCAGGAAACTCTGTAATATATATCCTGAATTCTAGCACTATTGGACTGAAGTGCCTTCTAGAGCAAATCTGTTCAGTCCCATACAGAGCCAGGCCTAGAAAAATAGTGCACTGCAATTCTAGTCTCTTCTTCATACTATAACACACGCCATAACTTTTCTCAGTACCAAGAGCTAGAAGAAGCCATTAGAGTCCCTAAGAGGGACTTAATGACTCATTTTTGCAGGCCTTCATTTTTATAGAGACATTCTCCTGAGCTGATCCCTTTCTTGCTTTCACTTCCAAAAAAAAAAAAAGGGGGGTGTATTATTTTATCACATTCCCAAAGAAAGAAAAGTCTATCTGTCTCAGACTGATGAAGTTCAGACTTCACTGCAGTTCACTGCACTAAGTCTCATTTAAAGAACATGTGTGCCCACATTCACAGACAGTCCCACAGTGCTACATTTACTTCCTTTCTAACTAATAGCTTTGATAAGATAGCAACTGTGTCCTCCTGAGTACAGTGATACCCTAACATGCTCTTTTCTGCTGGATGCTGCAGCTCTTGCAATCCATTCCAGTTGGTGTTGGTCAAGTTTATGGTTGTGAAAACCCTTGGACTGGAGGCATCTTCCTCATGGCTTTACTTATCTCCTCCCCAATGATTTGCTTACATGCTGCAATTGGATCTACCATAGGGATGCTGGCAGGTAAGAAATAGCATTTAAGAAAGTCATTTTTGTTACCTAGGGTATTTATTTTCAGCCAAGCCTTTATACAGTTCTGTCCAGACTTAACACTTTCATAAAAAGAAAAAAAAAAAAGGTTACATGAATACCACCCAAAAAGGCCTGTCTCTCCACTATCACAGAAACAACCTTAAACTGAGAGATGAATCTGACTCTTGAAGTTAGACAAGATTACTGCTATTTATTTGCTCAACTGTAATAAAAAATGTGATTCAGTAAGTACAGTCTGAGAAACTTACTTTAAAAAAAAGGCATAAATTCTCATTTGTGGTCTGAAATGCTTTGCACAAGATGCGAGCTTTGTGTCTGAGTTTTAAAAAAAAAAGCTGTACACATTTTGTATGGCTAAGAGCATTTGGCAAGTTTTGTATAGCTCTTATAACCTTGAAAAGAAAGATCATGAGAAAGTATTTGGGGACAGGCATGGTGATAGGAAACAGAAAGCAAACGAGGGCATCACAGTGAGAAATACATTACTCTTAAAGGTGATATCAACAGCTACACCCAGTTGAGAGAAGCTGGGAACAGGTTACAGTGGCCTGTTATGTGACATATACAGTGATATATATGTGATATGTAGTTATAGCACTATATACTGTGCTATCCTTTATACTGTCTGAGATGAAGCCGGTGAGAAATCCTGCAGAAGCTCTTGCACGGCTAGGCTGGGAGCAGACCCTAAGCTCCTGCCCCACTGGAGAGTTTCCACAGCAGTGATGGAGTGATCACATCTGAACATTTGGGAGACCGTCTAAAACACACTTAATGCACAGCCAAAGAGTTCTGCCTGAAAGAGCCCTTGAGACTGGGCCAAACTCCACGTCCAGGGACCTCATCACATCTCCCGAATAACCAGTCCCATTTGACTTCATTGCATGAGGCAATGATGGGCACGTGAGCACAGTTAAATGTATCTACATAGGTTCCCCAAGGGAAAAACAGTGGACTCCTAGCAAACAACAACTCCTGCAGATACATTCAGTATATCAAACCTCACAGCCCTGCTTTTTTCCTTGCAGCTCTGACCCTCGCAACACCGTTCGACAGCATCTACCTCGGCTTGCACAACTACAACTGCGCGCTCGCCTGCATTGCGATTGGAGGCATGTTCTATGCCCTGACCTGGCAGGCTCATCTGCTGGCCCTTGCCTGTGGTACGTGCCCTGTACGAAAAGGGAAGCCAAAAAGACCTGGGTAGCCGGGTGTTGCACAGGAGTTATTTCTGTGTTGTCATTGGAGTTGAGCTTTGTATGGCCAAGCAGCAAACGCAAGAAGGGGTTTTACATACTCTTAGCATAAATAATAAAATCTAGGAAGGGCAGAAATACAGTTTCTGTGAGAAGAACCCCAGAATCCCAGAATGGTTGAGGTTGGAAAGGACCTCTAGAGATCATCCAGTCCAACCCCTGCTCCAGCAGGGACACCCAGAGCATGGGGCACAGGGTGGCATCCAGGCGGGTTTGAAGATCTCCAGAGAAGGAGCCTCCACAGCCTCTCTGGGCAGCCTGTGCCAGGGCTGTGGCACCCTCACACCAAGGAAATTCTTAGAAGAGGGCTATGCTTTAAAAGATTATCTTTTTAAACATATGTATACATATATATATATATACCCAAAGAGGAATTGTGCCAGAAGAATATCAGAGTTGTTGCACGTGGTCAATTTAAGATCCATATAGCCAAAACCTCATCAACTGCCAAAGACAAACACTACACGAAGAGTTTGAGCACTGTTTAAGCACACATAAAGAGTCACTGAACATGTAATTATTTGCAATTTTGCAGTTCAGCAACTTCCCTGACCTGAGTGCAGCTCCTGTGTATGTAGTATCACTCAGTTGCTGCCGCTTCCATGACCCTGTCCCTTGGCCCCTGACCTCAGCTCCTGCTTTTCCACCTATGAAATCCTGTGGCTTGGTGTCCTAGGTCTGAAGCCACAGGAGAGACTAGTGGAGAATGACCATGATCCCGCACCACACACAAGTCAAGTGATGTCAGTGAATAAAATGGATGCCACTGGCACCTATTCTTGACAAAACAGAGTGGTTTTCATTCACCACCCATCTAAACAAAGCAAACTCAGGCCAAATCTAGTTCTGACAGGCAGGTGTAGCACCTTAAAATTCAACAACTAGTGAAGATGCTTATGCTAATCTCACAAGGAATAGCTGGGAAGGGCATTCTTTAATGGCACTTTAACGGGCATTTAGGAAGAATTATTATTTCTGGTAATTTCTTTGGAGGGATGAACAAAGTGTTGAATTTTGCAGCCAGTGGCAGGTTTTGTAGAGTCTCTGTCAGTTCAATTGTACACTTAGAGGCTCTGCAACTGATAATAAGATTTCAAAGACCTTCAAAGCATCTTATCCACAGTAGGAGTATGCGTATATATGTGAATTCCAGCAACAACTCAGTTTGAGATATGATATTCAGTTGCATGCCGTGTTTTTGAGCAAATTCCAGTGGTCTAAAGTTTTCTGTGTTTTTTTCTGAAGTCTTTTTCTCCTCCGTTATTAGTCAAGTTTGGTCTGAATATAAGAACTAGTTTAATGACGAGGAAAACACATTTTTTTTCTGTCTTTTGAGCTGTCCAAGCACACTGGTCTTAGAGAAAGCTGAAGCTAGGTCTGTCAAGCTTTGTTTCTTTTTAAGGTCTCTCTGAGAGACCTAAGCAAACCATATTTTAAGGAAATTGATTTGGCAAGTTAAAAGAAAAAGAAAACATATTTAAAACAAGCAGCTTCACATTAAATGTATTCACTTGGCATCCTCTCAGTACAGTGTGGGTCCAAGCAGAGAGTGGTGCTGTTAACCAGACCTGCTTTCAGGATGCACCAGAAACAGGGTACCCATGGCGGGGGTTGTTTTCCTATAGATGAAAGACTTGGAAAATCAGAGCTCCAAAAGTCAAAATTTTTGTAATCAACTCAATTTGCCCACTTAGACCTATTAAATCTGCTATTTTTTCTCCCCTGTGGGAGCTTGGTATTGGTAGATCCTCAAGTCAACCCTAGAGGTGGGGTCACGGAGCAAGACAGAGGGTTGGACTCAATGCCTGTGTTGAGGGTGTTGAGGACACTGAGAGAGCAAATGTGTGTGAATGGTACTTGCAGTAAGGGGTATTTTGCTGGGCAGTATAAATAGGATTTGTTTAGTGGATTGGAGCATTTAAATATTTGCCTGTGAGCTGCATGTCTTGCTTTTGAGCAAAACCAGCAGAGCTCTGGAGTTGCTTAAATATTGGTGCCTCTCCCAGCTCCTCAGTTGCAAAAGTTTAGGAAGAAGCAGAAGTGAGCAAAGGAAACGTGTAGAGAGAGATGCCAAAATGCTCCTGTCTGCCCTTTCCTCTCCAGGTGGGACTGCCCCTCTGCACGTGGCCCTTTTGCTTCTCCGCGCTTCTCTTTTTGCTGCTCGCTTCAGACAACCCAGCCATGTACAAGATCCCCCTCTGCAAAGTCACCTACCCCGAGGCCAACCGCATCTACTACCTGAGCATGATGAGAAGAGCATCGGAGAGCAGAAGAGAGGAGCAGAAAGCAAAGGTGCCAAAATCCTCCGGCGATTTGAAAATCCAAACCAGAGGCACTCCACTGTGCAGTCCAAAAAACAGCCGTGATTACTGATTCCCAAGGCCCGCAAGTCAGCAGTTTTGGTGTTTTTTTCATATCCTAGCAAAGCAGGAATACTTTGTAGTTACAAATACACCTCCAGCAGCGTTCTGAGGGCTGGGGATGCTGCATAGCACGCTTCGGAGGAAACACGATTTGCCCTTGAGCTAAGCTTTCTATAAAGCACTCAGGTAGCGCAGTAATGGCTGTCTTATCAATCCACACGCTGTTAACTTGAAAGCCAGCTCTTATCAGTAATAATTATAAGAATAGGCAGAAGAACATAAACACTGACACAAGGCTGTATTTAATTTTGAATGGGTAATTTAACAAAACAAATATGCTGGGGGAGAACTTTTTATGTAATAAATAATGTAAGAACTGCATCAAGTGCTGCACTTTGAATTAAGAGCATGTACATCTGAAAATGGAATAAACAGACCGATCTCCTTCTTCTTTGTTTCCCCATTGATGTCTAATCTACTTTATCTCACTTTAATGGGTATAGTAAATACAGCTAATATTCTTTCAGAATTTATACTATATTTAGTGGTGCCTCCTGTCTCACCGTTAAGTTCCAAGACTACAAAGATATGAATATACATGCTTTAATCACCTGGAAAAGTGTCTAGGAAATAAGGATTGCAAACACCTTTTTCCTTGCATCATTTTCACTCCCTTACAAGTAGATCTGTCTCTCACTGAATGCCTAGGAGCAAGTGTGAATTCCTGCATACATCCAGTCGGAAACAGGGAGACTTCACATGAACTGTGCCTCACATAAAGACTGAGACAAATGTTTGCAGATGGTAGCAATTATTGCAGATCTTTTTCTCCCATTCCTGTAGGAATATTTCCTTTATATTAAACCATGTGAATTAGCAAAAGGTTCCTCTTGTCCAAGTGTTGCATTGAGATCCTCTCACTTTATGTCTGGACCATAAGCTCCCAAAACACCAAAAGCAATTCTCGTGGGAAACCTTGAGGACCTTCTTACTGCTCTGTTCCCAAAGGATAGCGGTTTGTAACAGGCCCAGGGTGGGAGGAGAATGCTGCCACTTTATGTTTCCTCCAAGTCCTTACAACAGAGAAGGGCCAATGGCCTTAACAGGAACTTTTCTTGAAAAGCCTTGTTAAAACCACCATGAAACAAGCCTAATAAAAAGGCTTCCTAGTTCTGAAGTCACTTAATTAGGATGCCTGGTTTCCTTCAACAGCGAAGAGCCAAACTTTGTTGGACTCCAATGGGCCCTTTTGCCAAAGGTGACTGGTGGAAAAGAGTTTTCCCTGCCAAGCAAATACAGACCCAAAGGATTTGAAGATTTAAGGTAAAAATCCAGAGAGACTATGCAACCATACAATACTCAGATTAGATACCATCCTTTCCCTCCTCTTGATATGATTAAAAACAACCACATGAGGAAGCTTTGTCCCCTTGGGCAGCTCAGTCCCACCTGTGCAAGTTCCTCATGGGGCCACACAGCAAGGCAGGAGTTTGCAAGCCCCTATCTGAACTGAAGCAGGAGAAACCTGGAGCGAGGACTCCCAGGAGCACCTTATCCAGGCATCAGTGCTGTACCCCACAGCAAAAACTGCCTGCAAAGACCCCCACACAAAGCCCAGCCACCTCCTGGAGATGCTGAGCTCCTGCGAGCGGGAGGCTGAAGGCAGAGATGCACTTCCTTAAAACAGGAGCAAGAGCGAGAAACTGCTAATTAGGCAAAACAGATTATTTGCAAAAATGATCTCTTATCAGGGCACTGGACAAAGATGATTAAGCCCCTAAGCTGTCACAGAGGACAGCTGTGGAAATGGAGCAAGAGTCTTGGTGTTAAAGAGCATTTGTGGGCTGCATATGCAGCTGCAGGGTGACTCCAGAAAAAAAGCAACCGAGGTCAAAGACAACATTAGAAAGGATGTTAGCAGGCAGGCAAGAAAGTACAGAGCCGTAGGAAAACAGTGAGGAACCCAACACGGGTTACAAAGCAGTCTCCTAGGGTCACTGCAGACTGCAAGAGCAGGGATAAAGACACCCTAGTGTAACCGTTTTTCAGAGAAACAAAGAAAAATGGAAGAATACTTGAGGTTACACACAGCTATCTGGACATCTTCCCTCTATACATGCCAATGAGATACTGGTCTCACCCAAGACAGCCAGACCCGTTCACCTGCCCTGCACAGCTTAGTTTAGTTCCTACATGAATCCTAATAAAATCAGCTAAAATATTAGAATGAATATTATTGAAGAAAAAAATCAACTGGAATTAATTACAACATAGACTGTTATTTTGCTTTAAAGAAAAAGTCCAAGCACAATTCAGCCATTGGAGATTATGTCATGTAAAAGACACTACAAAAATAATTTCTTTGTCTCAGGCAAATCCATCCTAAAATCAATTAGCAAAACAATTGCTAGAGTTGTAGCCATCCATAAACAGAGCTGTTAAGTTCCTAGCTAATCAAAAGTTTTGCATAACTGCATTCAGCACTTCTAATTCTTGTAAACAGAGCAAATATGAAGGACCTCCTAGAAGTGAGCAGTAGATTAGAGAAGCACTAACTATCACAGGTCAAGTGCTCAAGCCCCAGCACTCCAGCCCTTCTCAACATCCTGCAAGACCCATATTCCATAAAAGTGCTACCTCTTGCTTTCAACCTCATTTTCCTTTCTTTTAGCAAAATCCAAGTTAAAGGTGAGCTATAAAATAGAGTGGCACTCTATGAAGCAGTTTATAGCCTGCAAGGGCTCACATTGGAAATGTTTGCTTCCTTTTGCTTTCCTTGGGAAGCTTAGCTGAAGTCACGTCTCAGAGGTAATGTTAGGACTGAAATTGTTAACTAGCCTTAGGAAGAGTTTGACAAGTTAGAGGTGCCACAGGTGTCAGGGGGAAAAATATAGCCCAAGGCTATTAGAGAATGTATGTTTAAAGATACATTTGCATCCTTCTGGATGTAGGAGTTGCCTCTGAAGTTTGGGCAGCATCTTTCGCTTAGCTCAGCTGCCACCCATGCTCAGCACCACCTCAGGTCCCTGCAGAGAAGGAAATTACCAACCAGCAGGGATTTTGACAGAAGTCAGCAGCAGAAAGAGTAAAACAAATCACCCAAAATCGTGTTTCAGCTGTCTAGCCCTCAGAAAGAAACTCTAATAACGGAAGCTGTAACCCTTGGACAGGCCCAAAACTCACTCAGAGCTTGATCTGGAGCCACAGTGTCATTTAGACACCCAAGTACAGGAAGCTGGGAATGCTCAACTCCACCCTGTCGATGTACAAAAAAGTGGCATTTTATAAATCACTTACTTCTTCGTGAATCTTGGCATCAATAACATGGATATGGCTGAACCTCAGTTCAAGGCCACAATTATTTCGGTACAAGCCTAGTCTGCCTGGTAGTGTTCAAGAAACATTCAGATGGGGCACTCAGGGATGTGGTTTAGCAGGCTTGGGGGTGATAGGTTTACGCCTGGGACTTGATCGTGAAGGTCTTTTCCAGCCATAACAATCCTAAGACTCTGTGATTCTACCATGGAGATCTATCTACTCAGCACAGAGCAGCAGGACCTCAGCATGAGCTGAGGAGAAATGGAGTCCTTGTTGTTGGGCTGCGAGGACTTCAAAGGTCCAAAATAACATGTCAACTCAAAACATGCTCAGTTGGTGCTGGTCTGAGTAACTGAGGTTGACTCTGCACCCACATTGGATCTGTGTTTTTGCACCCAGACAGAGAAGTCTTGAGTTCTACACAGCTCCTCTCATAGCTGAGGGAAATAAGCACTTTTAAAGCAGTTTCTCAGACTTGCTTTAGTGTGCTACGAATCGAGGGAGCCGAATGTAGATACCTGCATTTATTCAGCCAAATGCCACCCAAGCACCCAGCTGACTGCATTCAGAAGTGACAGAGAGGCACTCAGGAAAGAACGGCAGCACTTAAATGTGATGTCTATCTCAGGCTGCTCAAAAAACATTCATTACAAGCTGGCAAGAACAGAGAATAATACAGCAACCTGCTGTGAACAGGCGCATGGAGCCAGCAAATTAGTTTTCCGAGAGGAGAATCCCAGATTATTGCTTAACGGTGAAATGTAACAACAGATGCACTCAGAGGAATTATCTGGAGAGAAGCAGAAAGATTTAACTGATCCTTGTTCAGCTAGGACAATACAGAGGCTACAAAGGTAGGACTTAGGATTTTCCAGCTATCCTTGTAGCAGGTTAACCCTGGCACCCAGCCATCCTCTCCTCTGCTAGCAGGTTCAGAGCTGCCAGAAACAGCAGTGTGTTTGGAGGCCACGACAGGAGATGGTGACACCTCTCAGCTCAGGAAGGTCACTCAGTGTTGCTTTTACACAGTGATGGCAAGGAGCTCCTACAATTTCCACTTGCTGGAAAGATGCTCTGTGCTTTCTCAAGGCCAGCTATCATCTCAAACGTGCTATGATATTCCCTAACACTGAGGGCTTGCTCAGCCTTTTATAGATTACATTTGTCTAAGAGAAATACCACCATTTTAAGGGCGAGATCTGTGTGCTAAACACTGTCCTCTCCTCTCCTAAAATACAGGAGGCTGTATTTTAATTTGGAAGATGGAAAAAATAGCCCAAACAGGAAACAAAGATTTGGTGGCATTTGACTTTGCAGTTCTCAGGAGGTCTTGTACAAACCCCTGCAGCTGTTTCCACAACTGGATTTCATCCATCCTAGAGGCTGGCTGAGAAAAGCGGGGACAGCTCTGTGGGAAGCAAAGGCTTCTTCCACCACAACATCCCCTGGGAGTGAGCAGCAAGTTGGCATCTGGGCACCTGGGACTGCAGCTCAGCAGCCCCACGGCGCCCGAGCCCATCGCTACCAGTGCATGGGTACGTTTAGCCTCTTGTCCTCACATCCTTCTCCAGGGCAGCACTCAGCCTGAAGAGCTGAAGCAGGTTAAAATCCGTGCTGGTGAAAGCACGGCAGAGCTGGACCTGGTGCAGCTCCGTCGGGTGAAGCATCTAATACCAACGGGAGCCCTTATGG